ATAGCCTCAATGGCATATTCCACTTGAAATAATCTTCCTTCAGGAGAAAAAGTATTCACACCCCTATAATTAAAAAAAAAAAAAAAAAAATTAAAAATTGTCAAAAAACTATTCATATACACACTGAACTCAAGTTCCTTGACAACTAGCTCAGATGGCTACAGGATATGCATGTTATAATTATTCTCTACTTCGCCCACAACAATCTGCAGCTATTTTTTTGTACATTGACGGTTTCTCAAGGGAACGGAAACTATATATAGAACACTTCTGTCCTACTCCCAGAAAGTCTTCCCAAACTGATCAAATGAGAACAGGTTACTTTTCTCCCTCAATCCTGAATCGATTTACCAATTTCTTCAGCAAATTCATGCCCCTAAACTATCAGGCAATTCCCAAGAAAATGTGCATTTTTCCTTATCCTCTTCTCATTGTGTGCATTTGATATTACCATCTTTTTAAGTTCTCCACAGGTACACTTCTCTACTTATTTTATGAATTAGTGTTATCTTAGCAATAGACTGAGATCCATGTAGTTACTAAAGCCTAACCTAGTTCATTCATTCAATAGATATTTATACCAATTACATGCTGATACGGATTGAATTGTGTCCTCCAAGTTTTGTGTATTTGAAGTTTGATCCACCCTGTGTTAAGTGGGTAGGAAATCCTATTATGGTAATTGAAAGGTGGGCCCTTAAAGAGGTGATTAGATTGTAAAGATCATGCCATAGTGAATGGATTAAGAATAGTGGTCACGGGCATGGTTCTGAGGGCTTTAAAAGGAGAGCATGTGAGTCTCTCTCTCTCTCTCTGCTCCACCATTTCTGCCATATGAGACCCTGGGTCACTGTCGCCAACACCAAGGTCTTCACCAGATGTGTTCCCTGGACTTTGAACTTTCCAGCCTCCAAAACTATAAGCAATAAACTTCATTTTCTTAAAGATCACCCAGTTCAAGGTATTTTGCTTTAAGCAACAGAAACAGACTAACACACACGCCAAACTGCTTTTCTCTCTAAGACACTTCTCCACCTTTCTCCACCTTTCCTCACTCCAGTATGTTGTAAATCCCTATGGAGAAGAGGCACCGATCATGATCTTAGCTATAAAAGCTTTTCACACAATGAACACTTTAAAAATATATGAACAAATGAATGAAAATGGCTGCAATCCTTTGTTTATGTAGTCTGGACTTTATAACAGGTAACATGATATAAAGTACAGTATTTTCAAATTTGTTTTACCAAAAACTCTTTTTTCAAAAGAAATCATATTTATAACCCCAAAATATAAAACAGATCATAAAAGTTGACATCTGCTGAGCATTTACTATATGCCAGGCACTGTTATAAGCTTTTAAATGATTTAACTCATTTAATCCTCAAAATAATCCTATGAAGTAGTATTCTAAATACTATTTTACATGAGTAAATTGAGACACAGAGAGGTTAAATAAGTTGCCCAAATTCACTCAGCATATAAGAGGCAGAGCTGGGGCCGGCCTGTGGCTCACTCGGGAGAGTGTGGTGCTGAAAACACCAAGGCCCTGGGTTCGGATCCCATATAGGGATGGCTGGTTAGTTCACTGGGTGAGCATGGTGCTGACAACACCAAGTCAATGGTTAAGATCCCCTTACCAGACATCTTTACAAAAAAAAAAAAAAAAGAGGCAGAGGTAGAACTAAAATTTAGACAATCTGACTACAGAGACAACTCTCAAGTATTTCACGATACTGCCTCTGGGAACCACTCTGACCAAATCAGGGGTGAAGGAAGAATCCAACCATCCCAGCCCCCCTCCAACCCACATTTGCTCCTGAGATAATACCCCTAAGGCCATTTAAAAGGAAGTTTAGGGCTCTAAAGAACAGTTCCCCCCCCCCTTTTTTTGTCTTTTTTACTGACCAGTAACGGGATCGCAACCCTCACTGTTGCGCCCGCACCACGCTCAGCCAGTGAGCAGGAACCGGTCTCCACATGGGATCCGAACCCTCAGCGGCCGCACTCCCAAGTGGCGCACTCTCCAGTGCGCCACCGGGCCGGCCCAAGAACAGTTTTTAAATCACCGAAAGAAAAGTCTGAGGTCAGAAGGCCTAGGATTGAGTTCTAGTTGTGCCACTTACTAACTTTAAGTTGCTCAAATAAAAAATAATACTTGTCCTGCCTCTCTCACAAGACTATTAAGTACTGAATTAAATAGTATGTGAAAGAACTTTGTAAATTTTAAAGCACTAGTGATTGTAGTATTTTTTTCACCCTAATTTAGAAATTTCATCCTACTGAGATATTACTACATCCTCCCTAATATGGGCTCTGCTCTTGGCCCTCTTTCTCAAACTTTACTGTCTCCCTGAGTAGTTTTATTCATCCCAAGCACCAGCTAATTCCAAATCTCTATTACAAAGTCTGACCTCTTTCCCAATTAATCTGAATGCATGCTGATAATCTCCACTTGGATATTCCATTAGCACCTAATACTCTACATTTTCCAATCTGAAATATTATCTCTTTAAATCCAGCCACCCTGCAAAATCAGCTTCATCTTCTGCCATTCCTACTTCGGTTTTATTTTTAAACACCTCCAATCTCCTAGTTCCCCATCCTAGAAAGTCCTGCATGATTTGACTCATTCCTCCCCATCTCCTCCCATATCCATCCATATGACAAGTCATACCAACTCATAGCAATTCCTTCTCCACAGTAACACATCACTTTTCCTTCTGTTCTCAATGCTCTCATTACCTTTCACCTAACTACTATAATAGCCTCCTAACTGGCACCGACTAGCTCTTTCCTCTAATCCAGTCAATTAATCTCTATGAAACATAATTATGGTTATGTAACTTCTTAAAATGAAAATAAACATTGTGAAATGGCCTATAAAATAAGACCCAAACTCCTTAAGCTCATATTAAAAACCACCCAAAATCTAGCACCATCCTGTTTTTCTATCTCCTGCTATTCCCACACATGTATCGTGCCAATCAGACTGAAGTTTTCCCAAACCTGCATTGTGCTTTTCCACTGCCCCTTCTTTGTTCCTATAATCTGACTCAAAACTATTGACTCTCACTGTCATTTATTTATTAAAATGCTACTCCTTCTCAAGACCCAGTTTATATATTCATTTAAAAAAATTATTTTATTTTATTTTTTCAAGACCCAGTTTAAGTATCAGTTTCTTTATGAAGTTTTCCACGATCCTCTAACATTGAATACAATCAATCTCTCATCAAAACTTCCATAGCATTGATTTGAATCCCTCTAACGATGTTATACATTTCTGACTCAACTAGTTACTTTTGTAAACAGTGTTTTGTTTTTTTTTAAAGATGACCGGTAAGGGGATCTTAACCCTTGACTTGGTGTTGTCAGCACCACTCTCTCCCAAGTGAGCCAACCGGCCATCCCTATATAGGGATCCAAACCCGCGGCCTTGGTGTTATCAGCACCACACTCTCCCAAGTGAGTCACAGGCTGGCCCTGTAAACAGTTCTTTAAGAGACAATCTCCTACATATGTGCAAGGACCTTGACTTTGTTCATTGCTTTATGACCAGAGCCTAGAACAATGCCTTGTACACAGCAAGCACTCAAGTACATTGGCCAAGAGAATAAGAAAGGACTGTATTTTAGTCATTCTTAGGAAGATACAAAAATGAGTAACACAAAGTAATCAATACATATGTTAGGTAAATGATAACAAAATTTAATAAAGGCTTTCTGATAAGGATAACAATTTCCATCATACATACCCCAACTCAAAATTATAAAACCTAAAGGTGATTCTCTTCAATGCTCTGGGAGCAGAATATTCATTTTATAGGACAATAAGAAAAGACGTCAATTTTAAAACTTCATATACATCTTCTATGAGTCAGTAAAAGGATGAAAAAGAAGGAGTTCCAAGGTGATAGAACTTTGACAGAGTCAACATAGTAGAGTTGACAAGAAATGCAGCTTCTCAAGCCAAGTACAAAGAAAATGTCTGCCTTTCCTGGCTTTTAAAAGAACTTAATAGCTATGTAAAAACTTAACTGATCGAAACAGAAACTGAAAGTTAAAATGTCTACAGCATGAATATGTACAATTTAATACTAGCTAGCATTTCCAAGCCCTGAAACTTTTTTTTTCTAAAATAAACACAATTTCACAACCTTGATTCGAAAACATTACATTTGGCCTTCAACATACACTAAAATTAACTTGTTTTAACGTTTTTAAAAAGTCAGAAAAACCTAGGTCAAGTGGAATCAGCATGATGAGAAATCTCTGAGAACCATTCTAAATTCCTGTTCCTATAAAATCAGACTCCAGGCAATGTATCTGGGAATAGCTGAGTCTGCCTTCGCGCCTTGCAGAAACTATACATCCCAGCATGCCCTACTACGAACCCATTAAATGGTCTCCAGTTGCTTATTCTTCCAGGCAGCACGTTTACCTTTTTTTTTTTTTAAAAAAAGGCATTAGTACTCAGCACGAAAAGGTGAACGGGGGAGGAAGTGACCCACGGCCTTCTCCAGGTTAAAGGTCGGAGTCCCAACCCCTGAGCCTTCTTCCCCCAGCACAAACCAGCTTCTCGCTTCCGCACCAAATTAGGATCCAGAGGTGACTCAGCGGTAGGAAAAGTGCGGCCGATATGCCCAAATCGAGCTTGGAGAATCACCGCGAGTGCCTGAGGAGGACAACGGATCCCCAGGCCCGGCCAGACTCGGGTTCCTGGAGCTCCCCATGACACGGCAGAACCCAGGCCGCGGCCGGGCCCCGGGCCTGCCCACCCATGATCCTGACCCGGCTTCCCCACGCCGCACGGACCTGTCATACTCAGACCGGGTGAGGAACATGGCGAGAACGGGGGAAGGCGACAGCGGCTACGCAGGGATTCTGAGGACCAACACGACCCCGCCAACATCCAGCTCACCCACACGGCCACAGAACCAAGGGCCCTGCTCCCAACTGCGCGTGCGCCCGCGACCTCTTTAGCCCGCCCTCCTGTGCTTGCCTCCTATTGGCTGGTCGTGGTTCCCGCCGAATTGATTGGGCTAACGCTCTTCCCCACCAGGCCTCGGTTGGTCCGGAGTGGGCGGAACAAGGGGCGGGGGCTTTCTTCTGCTTTAAATTGCAGATGGTTGCTAGGGGCGCTCGGGACCCGAGGCGTGTGGCGAGACTTCGCGTTACGTGAAAGGTGTGATCCCGGCCCAAGACTGGCAGTTGGGAGAGCTAGCACGGAGAGTTGGGCTGTCTGAACCCTGATTTGATGTGTCCTCCGCCGACTCCTGTAATCCCCTTCAGAAGACGTTGGTCGCATTTCCTCCATGCTGTCCGCCTACTCAGCTCTCCGCGGGATTTCCCGCTCTTCGGGCTCTGGCGCGGTTTCCTCCTTCGTGTTCTGTCGAGGGCTCCATGACTTGGGCAGTAATGGGTGCGCTGCAGTGGGTCTGAGCCGGCACCGTGGTCGAGTCCATTCGCTTCAGCCAACCTGGCTCGTTTGCTGAGAAATGTTGGTGGGTTTTAGTCTGTAAGAAAGTCTTCAAGTTTCCGCAAAGTTAAGGTAATTTTACCAGCTTTTGTGGGGAGGGGAGGTCACTTAATGGGCAGAAATGCCTGAAAGGGAAACACCAGGGTTCCATTTCCAGTTTATGTAATACCACTGGTCAAGTCCTTAACCACTCCAGGCTTGTCTTTCTTAAGTTCATACTTGGTCCTAGATTAAGTTTGTAAATCACCAAGGCATTTTAGGGGTGGGGGAAATGTAGAAATATGCCTTTGGTGTATTAAGATCTGTTTTCCCCGCCATTTATTTCATGACTTTATGAATTCAATAGGAATTTAGTTTTGTGGTCCCCAGCCAATCAGGTGTTTGGCACTGACAAAACTAGGAGAAATTCCAAGTAGCAATTCTCAAGGATCTGTTAAATTTCTGAGAAAAGAATGGTAAACTTTAGCTTTCTTGTCAGCTTGTCAGTAGCTTTCTATTGAAAAATATTGGTCATAAATTCAATACCTGCTCTTTAGAAATTCTTTTACTATATAGGTACTTGAGTATAATAATATTTCCTGGAAAATGGTGGACTAATATGTACAAAACTATGCTATCTACCCTAAGTGAATCATTGTGCAGTATATGCATATTGAAACAACGTACTGTACCCCCTAAATATGTACAAAAATGTTAAAATATTTTCTTTTAATATTTCCTGCACACCTAGGATGCAGATATTAATTAATATCAGCAGCCCCTATTAATATCAGATACAGTAGTGAATGTCTTACAAAATGTACTTGCATGTGGAATATCCTCTGGGTAATGTGTTGGGCTATATGTAGCAATAAATGAAGGGGAGCTACAGGTAACTGATTGTAGGTAAGAAAGGAAATCTTGTTTCCTTCCAAGAGAGTAGATTGTTACGGCATGAAAATCTAGCACCTCACATAAGTTTTGGCCATAAATGTTCTGTAACTGTTTTAATGAACGTTGAGGCAGGTATACCTCTGAGAAAATAATAAAAGAGCCATAGAAGGCAGACAGGAAAGGAATGTAGTAAAACATGAGAGAATGAGCTAGACTCAGAAATTGAGAAAGGAACTAGGCACAGGGTCCTGGAACAAAATAAACTGTGTCAGAATAGTCAGGTAGGACTAGAGACACTACCCAAATAAAGAAACCAGTACGAATTGATCCCTAGACTGAATTATTTTTGTATCTGTAATTGCCCAACTTGTTAATATTTCTGACTATGTAAATTAGAAATTATTACTTTCAAAAAGACTCCTGAAAGTGTGTTACTGTCCTGATGACTTATTATAAAGAGGTACAGAAAAAAAGGGTCAGGAAACGTTTATAAGACTGTAACCATAAAAGAGAACTCCTCTTACTTTGGGTGGTGGCAGCAAAAGTAGGGAACTGACAACTTGGTAGCTACTGGGAAGCTGCTATGGTTTGAATGTGTCCTCCAAAAAGCATGTTTTGGAAACTTAATCCCCAGTGCAACAGTGTTGAGAGGTGGGGTCTAGTGGGAAGTAGTTTAGGTCATGAGGGCTTCATGCTCGTGAATGGATTAGTATAGATTATAAGAGAGTTTAAAGCTGCAAATTCAATCTCTTGCTCTCTCATCCTCTTACTCCCTTGCCTTCTGCCGTGGGATGACGCAGCAAGAAGGCCCTTGCCAGACCTGGGTGTCTTGACCTTGGACTTCCCAGACTGCATTCATCCATAGACTGAGAGCTCAGAAATATTTTGCACATTTTTGCAAAGAAAGGAAAATAGGGTTATTGAAAGCTGCCATAATTATTTTAGAGATGAAACACAGAGGTCTAAACTGTATTGCAGTAAAGCATAATGCTTTTCTAACTAGAACTTAAAAGTCTTGTCACTCCAATGGAAGTAAATGAAAATAGTTTGGTAAAGTTAATACTTCAATAAATATTGAGATTTGTTAGCAAATATCACATATGATCACTTTGTGTCAGACATTCCTGGGTGAATGGCATAAAGTATGTGGTGAATTTTAAAAATGATTTCAAATCAATCTAGGTCTCTTTGCTCTTCTTAAATATTATATTCCCCACATCCATCTGTCCACATTTACCTTTAGCAGCTACAACTTGTTATTCACAAAAGATGTTTTAGATTTGCCTCCTTCCCTATATATGATTTTTTACCTCAATCATTGTATAAGAATATCTTTAAATAACGAAGGTTTTTAACTCAAGGATATTGGGAGATTTAACTAGCTTTGATTCTTGTAAACCCCCCAAGAAATAATTGACCAGTTCTGCCTGGCCAATGACTAAGCATGGCAGGAGTACTAATGCAGGCCCATTGCTGCATAGTTTGGGACTCCTGAAATGGGCAGCTTTGGCTTAAGGACTACCCATCAGCCTAGCTGGTAACTTTCTTACTTGTGCTGCAGTCTGAGACACTGCCTAACTAATCCTTTCTTTTCCCTCTCCTTTATAGGTGTCAGATTTGTATCTCAATCCACAGCCTCTCCCACCTTCTCCTGCTCCCTTCCTGTTTATCCTTCACAGATATTCCCCCAATAAATCTGTTATATGTTACATGTTGTTGAATTGTATCCTCCCCAAAATTCAGATGTTGAAGCCCAAACCCCCAATATCTCAGAATGTGACTGTATTTGGAGATAAGGCCTTTAAAAGAAGTGCTTGAGTTCAAATGAAACCATTAGGGTGAGCCCTAATTTGACTGGTGTCCTTATAAAAAGGAAGTTTGGACGCACACAAAGGAAAGGCCATATGAGTACACAGCAAGAAAATGGCTATTTGCAAACCAAAGAGAGAGGTTTTAGAAGAAACCAAACCTGTCAACACTTTGATCTTGGACTTCTAGCCACCAGAACTGTAAGAAATAAATTGTTGTTTAAGCTACCTTATCAGTAATATTTTGTTATGGGAAACTAATACACATGTCAAATCCTATCTTGGCATTTGGTTCTCAGAGGATCCAAACTAACACAAGTGGTGCTAGGAGAGAGACAAGAAAACATAATAGATGGGGTTTCAGGACTGACTCATCCACAACCTCGTGGGCAAAGACGATGCCATCCTGAGTAGCATAGGAGCACGGGCCTTTCCTAACACAAGTTAGTGACCCAGTTGCTAAAGATTACATCAGTGGAGACTTGGGAAGATATCCACATAGAGGGGAAAGCTTGCAAGTATAATTTCAGGCATTTGAAATATAAGGGGGGAACAATGCCTACAAGGACAGTGGAGTTGTCTGGTTACTGCTAAGTTGTATTGACACTCTAAAGAGGGATAATGAGAAAGTGAGGGTCCTCCTTGGTTAAAGGCCAAGTGTGAATGGCAGAGGGCCTCTTTAGTATCTTACAGAGAGGCTTTTATCTCCTTGCAGTGGAAAAGCTGACACAGTTGAGACACAGACTCAGGACATGATAGTTAGAATCACAGAGCTCCAGAGACATTACATATATACATACAAACATTTATTTATTTATTTATTGGCAGCTGGCTGGTAAGGGGATGTGAACCCTTGACCTTGGTGTCCAGAGACATTTAAATGTACAGCCAAAGCAGGTCAGGGCCCTAGTTAGGAAAGCCTGAGACCCTGAAGAAGGGATGGGACATTTAGAATGTTTGCTCTGCACACCACTGTGTACTTTCAAAGCTTGTAGAGGCGGTCTGCCTCTCTGTAGTAAGAGCTAGTACTTCACCCCCATACTGCAGAGTCACTACCCCACAAGGAAACACAGGAGTTGCCCCTACCTCCTCTCCTGGCTTCCAGGCCAATAGCTGGAGTTAAAACTAACATAACCCATCCACGAACATGCTGGGCCTGATAAAGGAATAAAGAGATTATATGCAAAGGAGCTAAAAGAATTAGCATATGCAGGCAGAAACCAGGGGAGTGCTATGGGATTGAATTTTGAGGTTGCTTGATCAGGAGAGCCGGAATGTAAACCTGGATCATCAAGATTCATTGACCTGGGGGCACTTGTTGAGACACAGGATTTAATACCCTAGCAAGGACTCTGAGGGATTCTTAGAAACCTGGAGAAAGTGATAACCAATGCTGAGCAAAGTAGAAATGTCTGAGTTGCCCTGGCATATAATAGCAGAATGAATGAAAAGACTGGGGGAAGTGATTGTGCTGGAATGGATATATTATGTGAGGCCACCATCAAAGGATTATGTTTCACAGAAGGACCCATAAGACACAACATTCACCAAGGCCGTCAAAAATGCTCCAGTAAGAGGGGTAACAAAGTTCTCTGCAGTCCTGGGCTGACAGTTGAAGAAGCAATCACAGAGCTGGGGCTCATTAATAATGATAGAATGATGTCACCCCCGTTTTTCCCCTAAGTAATAGAGGCCAGATGGTGGTGCTTAGTCACCAGAATCCAGGGGTTCCAATTTACCATAAAGTCCAGCAAGATCTGGCAAGAGCAGCAAAGTAAAAACGTCTGAATTGCCCTGGCATATGGTAGAGGCCACTCCACACTTTGGCCATACATTCTAGTAGACTCTCTTGTATTGGAAGTGTCGGGGGTGTGAAAAGATGCTGTTTGGAACTTGTGATGGTTGATCTTTTGTCAACTTGACTGGGCCATAGAATACCCAGATATTTAATCAAATATTACTCTGGATGTGTCTGTGACGGTATTTCTGGATGAGATTAATATTTGAATTGGTAGAGTGAGTAAAGCAGACTGTGAGTGAGCATCATGAAATCACCTGAAGACCTGAATAGAGCAAAAAGGCTAAGTGAAAGGTAATTCCTCCCCCCCCATACACGTGCTCTCTCTTCACCCACACACACAGGTGTGTGTGTGTGTGTGTTTATGTGTGTCCTATTTGTTCTGTTTCTTTGGAGAACCCTAATATAGATTTTGGTACTGGGAGTTGGATGTAGCTGTAACAAATACCTAAATATGTAGAAGTATCTTTGGAACTTGAACTTGGTAAAGGGTAGAGACTGGAAGAGTTTTAAGGTGTGTGCTAGAAATATGGATGTTAAAGGAAATTCTGGTGAGGTCTCAGAAATGAGAACGTGCTATTGGAAACTGGAGGAAAAGTGAACTTTATAAAGTGGCAAAGAACTTGGCTGACTGTGTTCTGATGTCTTGTGGAAAGTAAGTAAATGAATTGAAGAAGGAATTGTTAAACAAAAGGGAACCAGAACTTGAAGATTTGGAAAATTCTCACCCTTTCTCATATTGCAAAATATGAGAAAGCATGTTCTAAAGACATTGCCAGTTTAAACTGAAAGGGTTGGAGATGGGATAAAATGAAGGAAGGCTGTTGGACTTCTTGGATTTGACAGGATGGGATGATAGAGCTTATTTGGCTGTGAACATGCACTATTCTTCAAGAAGAGGAAAAAACGAACCCTAAGGCAATTCAGAAATCATCAGGGCCGCTCCTTTGGTTTCAATAGGCCAGATGGCCTTCATGTGAAGTCTTGGGGCAAGACCCAAGCCTGGCAGAGCCTTGTAAGTGACACTGCCACCCCAGTGGGCCTGGAGGACAGAGCATAGAACCAAAAAGCATTATTCTCAACCCTTAAGATCTAATGGAATTTGCCTTGCTAAATTTTGGACTTGCTTGGGATCTGTCACTCCTTCTTTCCTCCCTATTTCTCACTTTTGGAATGGGACTGTCTCTCCTCTGCCTGTTTTTTGGAAGTCTGGTTCATGGGTTCACAGCCAGACAGGAATTTGGCCTCAGGATGAATCCTACCTTGAGTCTCACATCTGATTTAAATGATATTTAGATGAGACTTTGGACTTTAGACTTTGGAGTTGATGCTGGAATGAGTTAAGACTTTTGGGGCTGTTAGGATGGAATGAATGTATTTGGCATGTGAGAAGATTGTGAATTTGGAGGGCCAAGAGCAGAATATATGGACTGAATGTTTATGTCCCCTCAAAATTCATATGTTGAAGCCCTAACCCTCAATGTTATTGTATTAATCTATTTTCTGTTGTTTGTAACGGAATGCCTGAAACTGGGTAATTTATAAATGAACAGAACTTATTTCTTACAGTTTTGGAGGCTGGTGCTGTGGATTGATTGAATTGTGTCTCCCAGAGTTCATATATTAGAAGCTTAATTCCCACTGTAACTGTTGAAGGTGGGAAATCCTATTATGGTAATTGAAAGGTAAGGCCTTGAAGAAGTAATTAGATTCTGAGGACCATGCCTAATGAATGGATTAAAAATGGTGGTCAGGGGCATGGTTTTAAAAGAAGAGTACATGAGAGGTTAGTCTCTCACTGCTCTGCCATTTTCTGCCATGTGAGTCCCCTGGGTCACTGTTGCCACCACCAAGACCCTCACCAGATGTTCCCTGGACTTTGTACTTCCGAGCCTCAGAAACTGTGAGCAGTAAATTTTGTTTTCTTTATAAATTACCCAGTTCCAAATATTTTGTTATAAGCAACAGAAACTGACTAATGCAGCTGGAATGTCCAAGGTCCCAGAGGGCACATCTGGTCAAGGCCTTCTTCTTGGTGGGGAACTCTCTCCCACAGTGGTGCAGGGTATCACATGGCAAGGACTTAGTGAGAGCACACTAACATGCTTCCTCCTTTCCTTATAAAGCTTCAAGTGCCACTCCCATTTATCATTAACCCATTAACCTATGAAAAAATTAATCCATTCAGAATGGCAGAGTCCCCATGATCCAATCACCTCCCAAAGACCCCACCATTCCAATACCATGGTCTGATTTCCCACTCTCTTAACACTGTTATAATGGGAATCAAGCTTCAGTGCATTTTTGGGGGACATTAAAACCATGGAAGTGATGCTATTTGGAGATAAGGCCTTTGGGAGGTAATTAAAGTTAGATGAGGCCATGAGGGTGTGACCCTCATGATGAGATTAATGCTCTTATAAGAAGATATACCAGAGAGCTCGCTCTCTCTGCCACTTGAGGACTCAGCAAGAAGACAGCTGTCTACAAGCCAGGAAAAGAGCACTCACCATAACCAAACAATGCTGGCACACTGTTCTTGGACTTCCAGCCTCCAAAACTGTGAGAAAATAAATTTCTTTTGCTTAGGCCACCCAGTATATGGTATTTTGTATGGCAGCTTGAGCTGACTAAAACAGAGCTCATGGCAAGCCCCAGTGAGAAAATCACATCACAGTCCCTGGATTCTGGAGCAAAGCCATGCCATCTAAAGCAGAGAATTATAGGAGGGTACCTCAAAAAGTTTGTGGAAAAATAGAATTAATACATGTTACAAATCTTTCCATGAACTTTTGAAGTACCCTCATAAACATTTTAAGAACCAGCTCTTAGTGTGATACTGAACCTTAGTGGAGACAGAACACTTAACCACAGGGCACTAAGAAACCACATGCCCAGAACTGCCTATCATGGTTTAGGTTCTATTGGTTCAGGTAGACCCAGCAGCATCCATTATATGATAGAAATGGTACATCTGGGATCAAGCCCAAGCAAGATCAAAGGGCTCTTGTAAGGGCCAGCCTATGGCTCACTTGGGAGAGTATGGTGCTGATAACACCAAGGCCACGGGTTTGCATCCCTGTTTAGGGATGGCCGGTTAGCT